GGTCACGATTAGGCCAAACAAAATTAATTGAGGCATGTTGTGGCAAAATGGTTAAGTTGTCGCACAGTCCAGTATTGAGTAAATGAGCTATTAAATATGGGAGCTCAAAAAATTGCCTAAAAATCCAAATTTGTTTTTCATTATAGATCAAAAGTTTAATGTCTTATTAATCATGTACCAAAGTATTAGTTCTGGGAGTGGTCAAGAAATTGTTTATTTAATGTTATTTTGATAGTTCATTCTATTAAACAATGTATACACAAATAACTTTGAAAGGCAATTACTCAAAATCATGTTTATCTTGACTCTAAGAGTACTGTACTTTCACTTTCCAATAACTTAGTCTTGAAATGTCCAATTTCAATGAATGACCCCTCATTTTAAAGATCACATGCTCAGGTATATGAAAATACCAACAACTTGAATTTCAATTTTTGCTACAACTTGGCCATTTTGCCACAACATGCCTCAATTGTTAGTTTCATGTCGGGGGTTTGATATTATTCTTTGGCAAAGATATATTTACTATGTTCTACTTTACTATCCTATTTATAGTGGTAAGCAGGTTGGTAAATAATACAATGACAACTCATAGAACAAGTCTAATTAGATTTTGTACATTAATACAAGAAAGTTTTATGGGTCTACAAAAGCAGTGGCTGGTGGTAGGAGAAGGCATTTGGGTACAAAATAGGGAAGGGGTACCTCTCATTGCAGGGGGTTCAAAGGATTTAAAACAAATATAAATGCTGTACATCTCCCTAAATTTTCCATGCATTATTTTACAGCTTAATATTTTCTTTAAATATCTCTTTTAATTTTATTATTTTCCTTATAAAATTAATTATATGGAATAGTACTGAAAACACTACACTGAGAGCTGAGTATAAATTGATCTGAATTCAAAAGGTGAGAGTTTTAGCATGCTGTGTGCTCACTAAATTCAAGATTCACTTTTATTTTTTCCACAGTGGGAATCTAGGTCAAGTACAGTACTTTCTATAAAGAACAGTGAGTGAAATACAAAATACAGAACAGGTCTATTAAAAAAAAAAATAAAACGCTGAAACTTGAAAACTCTTTTAGGTAATAAATTCATAACATTTTTTATAGGGCCTAAATACGAAGATACCGTATTAGTTAAACTGTGTGTATAATTTACATACTTTACATACTCCTCTTCAATTTTTATCATCAGGAACTAATGTAATAAATTCCATTAAAGCCATTTGAAGATTTCAATATTGAAATAGCAATACCTGATACTACAAGTGTTTTCTGATGCATCATAAAAATATTGAGTATACATACATGAGACAAATTCAGTGATGGTGAAACTACACACCCTTGACTTAATTTCATTAGCATTATTCTAAAGCTAACAAATGATGTGCAGGAAATAAACATATAAACTTCCTTGATGCAATGATTAGTACATCACTGAATAATAAATAATAATAATAATAATAATAATAATAATAATAATAATAATAATAATTTATAATAACAATAACAATAACAATAATAATAATAACACACCAATATGCAATTTTTCATTTCTGTTTCTGTATTTTATCATTTTTAATTTGATGAACGTATTTTTTTAATGTCTTTCCCTTCTTTATTGTGTTCAATTTCTGTTTTAGTATTTCAACATTTTTTGTATCTGATGAATGTACTTTTTATTGTATTAAAATTTGAATGTACTTTTATATGCAAAGGTTTTAAATTTTATCAATCATTTAATTTCTTCACTTGGAGATAATAAAGTTATTCTGATTCGATTATATTTTCATTTCATACATTTCATTTATTTGTCTCAAACAATTAAAATGTGCATAATTAGAAACGGCAAAGAACAATCACAAAAGTACAAAAAAAAAACCCAAAAAAAACAAGAGACGGAACACTCCAAAAGTAAAATCAATCAGTCGAGTGGAGGCCCTTTACGAGAAAAACACAAATACTTACAATATAAAATTCTTCAAAAAGATAAAAAATCAAAAGATAAATATTGAAATATATAGAAAAATGTGTAAAAATCAATAAATGAGCAAATTTAATTTAAAAGTATTTTGAGATATAAAAATATTTAGATAAGCATTAAAAATTATCTTAAAATATTCAATGTAAAAAAGTCAAACAAATCATCAAAAGTTTCAGTGCACTTAAAATATATAAAATTTAATAATTACAATATTTAAGAAGAGTAAGGTTAAAAATATAAAAAGTGTTGTAAAAATAATTTAAAAAAAATAATAATAAATAAATTTCAATAATTAAGAGTAGGTGAGACTTTTTTGATACCTTGTTTTTCACAAACTTATTTTCTTAAAGATCGTCAGAGGAGGGTGGAATTTTTATTGGTGAATGTAAACAGTGTAGTCAATGGGATGGTTAAATTTATATAATTAGGAAGAAATATTTTTGGTAATTTCTGGGCAACATAATAAAAATAAAGATTTTTTTTTCCCCTGAAATATCTATTTGTTTCGTGGTGGTGGGTGGGCTAATTGGTCAAAAATAAAATTATATTTTTATTTGCAAATCATGTATTGGTGGGCGGACGGTTCGCTGAACAAGTTATAAAAAAAGACTCGCCTTAGAAAAAAACAATGTGTTTGTTGTCAGTAATTCTGAGTGGTTAACTAATGTCAGTCAGGTAGGTACATCAGGAGAGAATAAAGTAAAAAACAAATCAAGATCGATACTTTAATTTGACAGTTCACAATCACAAATGGAGAACATGTCCGCTCAATATGGGTAATTTTGCAATAAACTACACTATTCACTCTGATAGATAGTATCAGTTTATTTCATGAAATGGGATGGTACACAATACAATGACAGTCACAATAGTACAGAGCAAGGGCAAGTCTATTACAAAAAATGAAACACTGAAATTATTTTAAAAAGCTGTTGATTGAAAGAAGATTGTGAATACATATAGTATAGCAGCCTGTATAAAAAAAAAAGCTTTAAAAAAAAAAACATACATCCAGATAACAAATATAAGGCCCAATAAATGTTTTTTTTTTTATTAGTTCATCACCCTTGTGCGCATGTCTTCTACGGTGGTATTGAAAAAAAAAAATTCAATTCTTTTTAAATTTCAATTTTTTTTTTTTTTAAATTAATTTTTATTTTAAAATACTTAATAAAATGCAGGTAAAAAATACAAAAAAAACATACCAGACAATGTCGTCAATATACAGTATTATGTACTTTACGACTTGAGAATATAAAGTATTAACACATATGAATGACAGGTAATGTCATTAACATAAATGGTGCAAGAAACTGCTGGAAATAAATACATTTTGAAAGAAAAAAAATGCTTTTTGTGCGTCACAAAGAAGGCATGTACTGTACTCGTAGTAGTGATGTGAATATAGCCTATAACAGCAACTGTAGAATGGTCAGGACGAGACAAAGCTATTCGCCTTCTGATACACAAAGATCAAAGAATGTAGACACAATGTACATGTCTTTCCCAAATATAATGCATTCATGAGAAATCAATATTATAATTTTACATTTCTATTTTAATAATTTGGTGACAAGTCTTTAAGACAAACATGCAAAAACAAGATGTTCTACGTAAAAAAAAGTTTCAATAAAAGGCTTCATGAGTGGAGTTGTTTTTGGTTGTGGTCACATGACAGGATTTGAACATGACCACCTTTGTATTGGAAGGCAAGAACAACTGACCACCAAGCTAAGCTCAACTTTTTATTACAACATTTGCTATCTTAATAATATTGTTTCAATTTTTTTTTTTCAATGTAAATATTATATAAAAAATCCATGTAAATATAGGTTATCTTTTTTTGGTAAACTAGCATTTTTCCTTGTACGTATAAGCATCTGTTAGGCCTACTTTTCTCAAATGCAATTTTCTGTACCTACACTGTACAGACAAAGTAAATAAAATTTGCTTTGGATGATTAAATTTAATTAGAAACCACGCTATAAGTATAATGAAAGTAGATTAGTCAGCATATGATTATTATACATATTCTTACATAAATATAATTTTTGTTATTAATTCATAATTTATTGTCTAAAATATGCAATTAATTTTCTAAAATGTAATTAAAAAAAATAAATCAGGCTTGCTTACAACGATGGAGTTTAATTAGAAACCCAACAGTGAATGGTGATACAAAAAAGTACAGTCAACATGAGTGACTATATATAATTTAACGCAAAAATAATTATACAAATCTTCATAGTAAACATCTTAGAATCAGTTTCATTCTTTTTGTAAGTGCTATAAACTTCTAATTTTTCTTTTTAGAAAGAATTAAATTGTTTCCATATTATTAGTTTAGATAATCAATAATTTTATGCAAGGATAATTATGCTTTTATTGACTTATCTATGTTTGTTTAATAGCAAAATTATAAATTATCACTGCACTAATGTTTCATATCCAGGAAGCTGGCGGAAAAAACAAGGACTATACTCCCTTATCTTCTTTTCACTCTAGACTGCTGCTCAACACATCTATGTATACCTATGATTATGTCAAGTACGATACACCGCACTATCAAATAATTATTTTATTTGCACGGCAAATACACATTTAGAACAGAAAGTTGCCTGAAAAATCACTTGGAAAATAGGAGACACAAACCTTATACCTTTAGGCCTAATTATCTGTAAAATCTATTTAAAATTCAGCCCACAGTGTCGAGATGAGGGACAGATTTCCAGGTCAAAATTTCTACACTGTAGATATTCCTTGCATAGGTCCTAGTTTTCAATCTGGTGCACAGGAACACTCACTGCTTTTAAAAATGTTTTTGTGAAGGGTTTTTTTTTGTGCGACTATATTCTAAAAGAGTGCACAGTAAAGGAAGATGATGATGACATGATGAAAGTAAAAAACAAAAATAACCTTCCCCAACCTCCACACCCCCCCCCCACTACCCAATCCCCCATACAAAGCAAAAGTGATGCAGGAGAGAACATGAAATATATTTAGGTTATTACCAACAACACAATTTTATTTCTATGTGTGTTGTGGAATTAAATATTTGTAAAATAAGTGTTAGATACACCATAAATTACTAAAAACACATGAAAATGCTTAGCTGAGATAAAGAACTTTTAAAAAAATGCATTAACTCACCAAAAATCAACATTGGCCAACGTAACCCGTCGAGGGCGTACCGTTCGCTGGAACCTTACAGGTATCATGGCGTATAATCCAGTAGGCGAGCAGAAAAGGAGAAAATTGTTCTTGGAAAAAAATATGCGACTAATTAATAATCACCCACATTCAGTGGGAAAAGCTGAATCCAAAAGCCACGGATAGTCCTTGATAATGATCCGAGCCGTCCTTGATAATGATCCGAGCCAAGACGCTTTCACGAAGACAACTATTATCCAATATAAAAATAATCAAGAAAAAATAAATTGCTTTAGTCGCCTTTCTAATCGATACAATTATAACCAGTAGCACCTGCCTGCAGATGATACTGCATGTTTTTCCAGAATATTTTGGAAGATATCACAAACCATTTATAAAATCCAGCATTCTCTGAAGAAGTGCACTTTTTTTTCTTCTGTTTGGGGCTACTTCCAGTTGAGTAGTTTATAAATTTGGTTTGCCTGTTTACCTTTTATAAATTTCAGTGATCACTGAACTTCAGCTGTCACGGCTTCAGGGGTTGTTTCAATCCAACATTGTCATTGTGAAGTGGATAAAGATACTTCTGATCAAAGCAAATGATATCTCTTCATTGAACATTTCCTGATGAAGGACAAGGAACTACCAATCCAGTGTCAATACTCCTTGGCAAAGTATAGACGCAATCTGCAGAGGCACACGCTTGAACGAGTTCCTAAATGTTGTGCTTTAGTAGACACACAGCACTTACCTTGCTTGCAATTATCCGTACTGTTATTGCTTTTAATACAACCATTCATTTGCATCACAACAACAACTCGATGCACTAATAAATAATAGCTCTCACAATGAGTGACAATATTATAAAAATATCGAGTTTAAAAAAAAAAAACCAGGATAATAATAGAAGCTATCCAATGCTGTATGTAGCAGTGACTTCAATGGCTTGTTCACTGCTTCTTATAAATGATTGTGAGGTAGGCACCCAATCACTCAGTTTTAGTATATTACAGCATCACTGTCATAGCCTGCTCACAGGAAGTTAATATTATGAATGAACTGAAAAGAGAGAAAAAAAAAACAGAAGGCCTACTACACAACTTTAAACACTATTTAAGTTTTCAACTTAAAATTCCATACAAATTTTTCATTCCTATGTATGTCTGCCTCTCTTTTGGATGTATAAATTCCATAGGTACTACCAGCTGACAAAATCACTGACCTCACAGATACCTGGGCCTAAGAACTCAAGCTGCAGTGTTAAAGTTGTTTACAGTTTTGTAGTTTTTACTGCAATTGGAATTCCTCCTGTCGCCCAGGTCACAAGCTGGACATTCTAGAACAGATCCTTAAAGATAAATCTAGAGTACATTTATGTTCACAAACTCTTGATTATACATTGTAGTATTGACAGATGTTCAAGAGAGAATTACTAAAAGCTGGACAGGCTGATTTCAATCTGTGAGGTAAATTTACATCATCTCTTACCTTCCTTTGATTGGTTGTTTGATGTTTCATTGTAAAGTCATGTAGGATAAAGGACACACACTGATAATCACATACCAGTTATTTCTCTCTCCATTGATGGGAGAGAGAGACGAAATCAAAGTTGTCTTCTTAATCTTATAGTTCAAAAGTCAAATCACTTCTCTGCAGCAATCGTGTGAGTATGGACATGTAGGCTAGACACAGACAAAAACCAAGTCGAAAACAGAATGTGGCCGAGTCATGTAACATGTGCTTTGCTAGCAAGAAACAGAGCGTTAATAATTAGAAACACCTTACTGAAAATAACAACATTCTGAATGGGAGGGCCTCAATACATACATCATACAGTGTTATTAATTCCGGTTGATTCAATAGGAAACATAGGTGATAAACATCTTACTAAAGTCGGTATGCTCGCTAAGTTTTATATATGTTCCTATTGAGATCGCCTGACAAGTAGTCTGGGAAGCTTCCTGACACGCAATCAACATCCAGTAATCAGCTCCATAGCCTGCAACCTATTTGGACGACTTTGTAGGGATGCTGTGTTGCTAGGCGACCGCCTTACCAGCTCAAGTGTTTGGTGAGACACACAGCTTAGGTGTCACCTTTCTCAGTTGACCAAAAAAATATATAATCCAACAGTTCTGATTAAATCGTGATTCATGAGGTGACTAAATCCAAGAAGTCTCCAGTTAAGAATAATACCTTTAGTGCACTAATGATTCTAACTCCTGTAAAATGAATTATAAATATACCATAATTCACCAGCCATCGGATTAAAATTGAAATAATTCCCCATTAAATTGTCGCTGTACTTTCATAACTATTTAATCAATGGCAAAATGATTTGGCACAAAAGAACTTTTAAATATTGCTCAGTTAAATTACGGAACAATCTAACCATCACATATTAGTTAGCAATATTCATTCCCTTTCCTTACAATCCTTTAAAAATCTCATTTAAATTACCCATTGGTTTTTCTTTGCTGTTTCTTGTATTTATGTAATTATACTTACTTTTTTTTAATTTTGTTTTTGTAATCTAATGTAGTTTAAAGGTTCCACCCTGAACCTCAGGGAAGAACCATGTACTACTACTTACTGAGTCTCTAGAATAAAGAAAGATTTCTATCTATCTATCTAACCAAAATAATTTTAGCTTTAAATGCAAACATCAATTATTATTAATTATCACATTTAAAAGAATTTCAGGAACAAAAACAAATTAAATAAAAAATACAGAAAATTTACCTCAATTAAAAACATATTTACACCTTGGTTAAGCCTTATGAAAAAAATTATTAATTTATCACCCTATCAAGGCTGGAAAAGTGATGAGATAGAGAGCCTTTTTATTTTTTTGCTTCGCTAAAGCCAAATCAGCCTTGGGTTGTTTGCTGGTGCATTGATATTGCATCATTCAGGCTCAAATCAGCTAGAAATTCTGAAGTTCCCATGTGACCCCCCCCTCTCCCCTTGGATTTTCCTTTAAAAAAACAAAACAAAAAAAAGAACAAAAAAAACTTTGACCTGCTATTTACAATACACTAAAATCAGTCTATTTTAAAAATCAGTTCACACTGAAGGAGTTCAGAAACAAACTTTCTACTTACAATGATGATATGTGTATTGTATACTGGTATAAATTTCATAATTAATATTAAGTGTCCACGGGGACATCTCGTCAGTCAAAGTAGGGGATATTTTTATGGTCAATAGTCATGCAACCATGTTTGGGACCCATCATACCTTTTATATTGCTCCAATTACCTTGCAAACTTAAATACATGTAATAGTATGAGCATATTCATCACAGATTTAACTTCCTTACTTTAAAGATTGATAAGATACGGCCATCCAAAAAAAAGGAAAATCTATTTTCGCACGATGCTTTGGGGGATTACAACATTCTAATGAAAAGGCTACCTAAATTTAAATAATATTTCTGGAAAGAGGGGCCAAATATATATGTAGCAATTTTCAACTTTTTATCTTCGTTAATCCAGGAGATATAGCTTCTTAAAAGCTGTACAAAGTTTATAGTAACCATTACCGGCATGAAAATGGGGGCGTGGTACCTAAATTTCAATAGGCTGTAACTTAAATACCGCTTGGAATTTGGAGCTGAAATTTTGGATTCCTTCTTTTAACATATACAAAAAAAAAAAAAAAAAAAAAAAAAAATTGGCAAAATTGCACTTAAATGAGGCTAAACTAGTAATTTTTTTATTTGAGCTACTGGGTTTTTTTTTTTTTTTTTTTTGAGAAACTAGCAGGAAGTTAAGGTAAGACTTTAAATATTTTAATGATATGCAATTTCTTATCTCACCTGAGTGAATTCTGCATGAAGAATCATAAAGTGATGTCATCACGACCATATTTAGGTATGTCACAGTTTTTTTGTCCAATAAAATGTGAGTCTGGTCAGGGCTTTTCAATCCTGATGTTTGTGACACCTCAGAAGGCAATTATACAAACTAGACAGGAAATTATTCTCTATCCATTAAATATCAAAAAATATGCTTTCCCATGTACAGTATTGTTGAATGATTTTTTAATGGTGCCCTAGACATTTGTCGTCATAACTACCTTGTTGATTTTTGGGTCCCAGGGCAATGTACGTCTGAATAAATAACTGAAATGAAATATTATGATGGCTACAATAACTTCCCAAAAAAGATAGATGCGTTGTTGAGAAGCGAGTCAGTGATTATTTGAAAACATCTGCAATGTATTACGACGTATAGATGATCAATAAGTTGTTCATAAAGCATTAGCATAATAATTACAAGTAATAAAATTAACATTTAGGAATTAATGACCTATGCTAGCCCTCTCAATGACTCTATAAGGAGGTCCTAACTGTAGTTTAGTTTCAAGGTTGGGGAATAACAGGGATATCAAAAGCAAAGTGAAAAGGAGTGGAGAAGGAGAATATCAATTCTTTCGAATTTTCTCGATCAAACTAATTAACGTAGAAGGATGTGTTGACGCTACTAATGTTGCCACTTATTTTCAGATAATTCCAAGTATGCACGGTGCGACATGCTGATGCTTCACATCAAAAAGCGTATACGAGACTACTGTATTGCGATAACATTCTTAGGAAGATAGCCGACTCCAAACGGAAGTGCACATGTTTATTGCTGGCTTTTTTTATTCCTTGTTTCACGATCTCACTTCTTTAAAAATCGTCATAGGCGGGTGGAAAAATAATTAAAATAAAATTTTGTTTTTTGTTCAGCAAATAGTTTTGCCAAAAACATCCTGACGGAGGATAAAATAAAAGTATAATGTTATTGTTGAATATAAACAAATTAAAATATTAAATAATGGGATGCTTCAAATCTATGTAAATAGGAAGAAATACATCTTATTTTTTTGGAGATTTTAAGGCAGTGGCGGGCATAATAAAAATTAAAAAAAAACTTTAATTTTTTTCTGAAACTTCCAGGTTTTCCTTGCAGCAAGTGTACTAATTAGCTAAAATAGATTTTTTTTTTTTTTTTTTTTATAAATTATCAAAATACTGGAAGCCACCAGGTTCGCGAAACAAGGTATAAAAAAGCCTCATTTAAGTGCAATTTTGCCAATTTTTTTTTTTTTTTTTTTTTGGTCTGTATTATTGCAATTCTCAATGTAGGGCTAGTTCATAATCCATTCAAATATTTTTAGGTGGGAAGCCAATTACTAGATAGTTGATTTCATCTCCACACTGTGTTGTTTACCAATTTCTATAAAATGCTTATATATGGAATT